ATAGACAAAAGAGCTACGCGGATAGAAGACGTCGACCTTTGGAATTTCAAGTTAGTGATAAGGTTTTTTTGAAAATATCACCATGGAAAGGGGTCGTAAGGTTTGGAAAGAAGGATAAGCTAAGTCCAAGGTATATCGGACCATTTGAAATAACTGCAAGGGTAGGAGCAGTTGCTTACCGGTTGAAACTACCAGAGGAATTAAGTRGTATTCACAACACCTTTCATGTGTCAAACTTGAGAAAATGTTTAGCTGACGAATCGACTGTTGTGGATTTGGAAGACATCGAGGTTAATGACAATCTCGCCTATGTGGAAGAACCAATTGGTATATTGGATAAGAAGACGAAAAGACTAAGAAACAAAAATATACCATTGGTGCTAGTTAAGTGGAAATTCCATAAAGGCGCAGAAATGACGTGGGAGCCAGAAGAGGAAATGAGATCTAAGTACCCTCAGTTGTTTTAACGAGTTTTAATTCCAAGGACGGAATTTCTTGAAGGAGGGGAGAGTTGTAAAACCCAAAAAAAAAATTGTGGAATAAATAATTTATCCTTATTAGTATTTTATTTTAAAAATATATATATATATATATATTAAATAAAAATAGAAGGTTGAAATAAGTCTAAAAGTCGGACCAAAAGTGAAGGAAGAAGTCAAGACATGGGTAAAAGTTGTCAATTCGCGGAAGTTAAGGGATTGAGTCGTGTGTAAGCAGGTCCAAACCAGAAGGACCTGTTTTGTAAATAGGCAACAGACCTGCAACAGGGTGGCCTGCTGTCAACGATCGAGAGAGGCAAAAGAGGAGCAGGCGGTGCCTGGTTCAAAAAGGGAAACTGTGACCTGCCGGTTGCAGGCTGTGGAGAAGCCGTTCATAGCCTAAAACTAGGGATTCGGCCGATTTGGTCAACTAATAGGCCAAATCGTTTGAGTATAAATTATGGGCTCTGGTTAGGGTTGCTATTCATTTGAAAAGAAGAAGGAAATCGTTGAGCTTGAGAGAGAGAAACCGGAGTTCAAGACCAGGCAAGAACCCCCCTGCTTCCCCTTGTTTAGAGGTAAATACTCGACCAAATTTATGATTTAAACAATGTTTAGCCGTGGCTTTGGCCCTATTTAGAACCCTAGAAGGCTCACGTCCAGACCTTGTGTTTTGGGAGTCAATTTCAAGGATTGGATTTCTTTTGTTAAACACGCTGTATCGCATCCTGCTTAGAAGCCACCTTAGAGAATGCTGTTACACAGAAGCTCTGTATAAGAGCTCTGTATCAAGTATGTTAGACAGAAGCTCTGCATGAAAGCTTTGTGTCATGCTAGCCAGAAGCTCTGCATGAGAGCTTCGTATCAAGTTATGTTATAGTGAAACTCTACAAAAGAGCTATGTATCATGTTAGACAAAGGCTTTGCGTGAGAGCTCTGTGTCAAGTTATGTTAGACAGAGGCTCTGCATGAGAGCTCTGTGTCAAGTTATGTTAGACAGAGGCTCTGCATGAGAGCTCTGTATCTTGTGTTAGACAGAAGCTCTGGAAGATAGACCAGAGGGGCTCTGGTCCTGCGTTGAAATATTTTCTAAGTGTGGCTAAGAACCAGAGGCTCTGGTCATGAAGACCAGAAGCTCTGGAAGAGAGACCAGAGGGGCTCTGGTCCTGAATGCA